CTAAAAAAAAAAAAAAAAAAAAAAAAAAAAAAAAAAAAAAAAAAAAAAAAAACTTGTTTAAAGCATGGAATATTATAACAGTATTATACATAGTATTTTCACGTAGAAAACTTTACATAGTTTTTCATATTACATAATTTTGGTATTCTCTCAAAAATGTATACATCCATTGGGCAAGGAATGCTCTTCTTTAAATTACTGATATTAAATGCACTTAATATGGAGACCTTCAAAAAAACTTAAGTCATTTTAAATATGTGAAAACATACATTTTACACAAATAACATTAAAGGTGCTGAACAAACTGAATTTACATATTAAAGGGAGCTGCACTTTTGACAAAAAAAAGCTTAGTTCTACTTCAGACTAGAAGTTACGTATTTTTAATCTTTCTCATTCTTACTAATAAGACTGAGCTAAACTTTGCGGGTGTTTCCTTGTATTAGTGGAAGTTGTTGTAGATTGTTCTGTTTACAACTCGGAAAGTGAGATACAAGACATGGACAAACTGTAAAAATAATTTTTCTTGTACTGTAAGACACAATAGAATCAACGTGAAAGGGAGTTTTTAGGGTTTTCCTCATTAGCATCCTCCCCCTGCCTACCTATTTCCTAGAGGGTTCCAAAATAAGAAGTAATAACAAATATCATGCAGTCTCCATATTTATACCATTATAGGTAAATCAGTTTATAGTTTAATTTGTTGCATAACACTACTTTAAAAGTCTAAGAGGTTACTTTTTATTACTGCATGTATTGCACAGATGTCTCGATCTCTGCCAGGATATGCTGGCACAGACCCTTGTTCTCGTTCATAGTTCCACTAAAACCAATAAAACCACCACAGGCAGACACGAGTCTATGTCCTGGCTCTGCTGACAAGATCGGACCAGCAGTGACTACTGCAGGAGTTTTGGCTCAGCATTTTTAGCTTCATTAAGATATCTATGGGTTATGATCTTTCTGACTGTCTAAGGGAAACCAAACAGCTGATGCAAATACAACCGTTTCAGGTATTACGCTTAACATACCATTCTTATTGCTTTAACACATACAATCAATTTCAGAAAATGGACAGGATTAAGGCTGTTAAATCCAATTGCATTCCAGTCCCCCTTCTCCTTCACGCACTACAGAGTCTAGGATGTTTTGATGTCACATACCTAATTTCAGCAGTTTATAAATGGTATAAATACAATAAAAGCTTTACTCAAGTAAAAGAACAGTCTCAGAACTAAGGCTGAAGGAAAGGATTGATTAAAGGCCCTTATTCTATATGCAGATAGTACAAATGTTGCACATTACGGTGAAGAAAGCCCACAATGCAACTGTAAAGTAATTTAAGATCTGAAAATTAAAAGACTTGTTTCAAGACATGAGTTGTAAGGCTTTCAAAACTGAAATACAAAAAAAAGCATGCAACTTTAAAGTTTGTGTTTTGATAGAAGATAAAGGTATACATTCAATGAGGCAGTGACACATTCAAAATC